GAATCAGTAAGGTCGTAGAAAAATGCCGCAGAGGCGACGCCAATGGCAGGGTCGCTTCGTCACAACGAAGATCTCTTGGCATCCCTTCTCCAGTCAACAACTGACAACATTTAGGCAGCTTTGACGGAACGGATATCGTCATGGGATCCCAAGGATCCCACCAAACGAGGGATACCAACTGAACAATTAGTTAATCTTTACGACAGATGGGGTCATGGGAAATTTGGCATGATTCTCACTGGTAATGTTGGCGTGGATCTGGTCCGTTTTATTATTTTGCTTTTTGACCTACTAATTTTGTTGTTTACTCCCAGTGAAGGTGAACTGCTGAACTCGACCTGAAGAACTATTTCAGTACAATCTTGAGTCAGCTGGAAACGCCGTGTTTTGCAAGGAGAACGACTGTCCGGAGTTGAGAGAAATGGCTTCGAAGCTTGCAAAAGCAGCTAAACAAGACGGAGCTCTAGCTGTTGTTCAAGTGTCGAATGTGAGTGGCTGCTAATGGACTATATTTTCAAGTGATGTCAACTAACCTTGAGGCATTAGTATTACGGATTTGTGGAAGAGTTAGCAGTGTGGAGTAAGTGCAGTGATCATTTTTCACACAACCGAGGCTGAATGAGATTTTTTTGAGTCTAAACTAGAACAATTCGTTCGTTTTTGTCTAGTTGTTTTCTGGCTGAGGACATTTGATGATCGCTTCTGTAGGCAGGTCGACAGACACCGGAACCAGTGAACCCACACCCATTCTCTTGTTCTGATATTCAACTGAAACAGAAGAGGCGATTCATGGGATTCGGCAAACCGATCGCACTCACTGAAGCACAAATCAAAACTGAAGTCGTTGATCGATTCGTATATACGGCGAAATTCGCTCATGATCAAGGTTCGCTTGCTATGAATGATTTGGTTCTCAATTTTGGGGCATACTTATGGACCAAGAAGTGTAGAATGACCGAATGTTATACGATCAGCCACTTTACACTCTTCAGGTACTGTACAGGGGAGGGGGGTGGGGCGGGTTACTAAAAAACAATTTTCTTCTCCCAAAGAAAAGCATGAAAAGGTTCATCAACGGATGAAGCACCGACCTGATCGCCAGCCATTTGGCGCCAAGGCTTGATCTATTATATCTCATTCCAAGCTTCAAGCTTTTCTCATCAATATATGGGTTCAGTTAATACATACAAGGTATAGCCTTGTTCGCTGCGGATGCTGGGGCTGTGTTTGGAGCGGCGCCAGCCTGCTTTCCACCTATTATTGTCGCTTGTAGTCTAGGCTTTACACTAGTAGTCTCACAAGGAGTAACAGACATTTTACGATTGCTAACGGAGCAACCCTCTCTCAAATAGTACATAGGTGTCCTGAGTCTGTGTTTGTGGATCTTTACTGAAATTCTAAAAACATTGCTTAAGGGTTCGATGGCGTCCAGATTCATGGTGCTCACGGCTATCTGTTGTCATCCTTTTTGTCACCATCAACGAATAATCGCACAGATAAATATGGCGGTTCCGTAGAAAATAGGATGCGAGTGATCCTAGAGATTCTCGAAGGAATCAAGTGGGCCACCATTTATTCTGAACATCTTAACATTTTCAAATAGATTGTATTTATAGTGCGTCGTGCAAAAAATATTTCAGAAAAGCGGTTGCGGCAGACTTTCTAGTTGGCATTAAAATGAATTCAGTGGAGTTCCAAGATCGAGGCTTGGGGATGGAAGATGCCAAGTTGATTTGTGCAATGTTAGAGGTGAGATAATTCAAAGCAAATTTGACAGTGGTGAATAAATGCACTAGGTGTAATTGATATGGTTAAGGGACAAATATCGTTGCTGATTGGGTAGAATCTCTTCCTATTCCAAAAACAATAGCAGAGTTGGCATGGTCAACAAAGTGTCGACGAGATGCTTTGCAAGCGGTAGCGTGGCCATAGGTCGAAGCAACGCCGCCCGTGGAGATTGTTAAACCCGTGTGGGGGAAATTTTGACAGTATCATTAAGGGGTCTGTATGGGACGCGCCATATTCGTCTCGCTCGTTTTCCAAATCGTCTTCCTCTTCTCTCTGCCTTTGGTCTCTCGCCTGCGCGCCAAACTCGCTTTTTCGCATAGTCGTCCACTCTTGGAGCCTTCTAGCGCGACGTCGACCATCTTGTCCGATTTTTTTCTGCGCTAAGTAATCTGTATCTCGAAACCCATATTCCCACATCAAAGCACCCGGGCGCTGTTCGGTTTGGAGGAGGTACTCTCCACCTCGCTAGTTCCTTATCGGTCATGTTAACGAATAGGTCTTACTTTGTTCAGCACTGTAGACTCCTGTGAAGGTGCGACATTGCTTGAGTGAACCACTCTGGTCACAGGTATCTACAAGGTCACATTAAGCCCATACGAGCTTACTAGCTTGAGTAGCCACTTTCGATGCCCCACCAAGCGAACTGCGTTATATACAACTGCAGACCGAATTGCAATCGTGGCTTGTATACGAGAGCAGGGTGTTGTGTTTTGAAAAAGCGCGTTTGCACAGATAAAATGTTTGACAGCACTCTGTCAATTCTGCGGTGGAACGCTTCCAGCTTTCAACGGGATGTTTCAAGGTAATAGCGTGGAACACAGGAACAAATTTACTTTGTCAGTACCGTCTCAGATATGTCTATGGACAGTGGATTATGATTCGATCTTCTTGATGAAAGTAACTCTCTGCGGGTTCCCATTCCTCAGTGTTCACATATTTCTTTACCTTTTGCGAATGCCGTACAATAGAGGAATATTGCGCATCTCGAAAACAGTTCTCGCTCCTTTTTGACAATTTTGAAGTCCCTATGGAAAATTGAATGTGAACGTTATTCATGTGTTACACCCACGTGCTTTTGCAACATGCTAAGAAGGATTTCGGAGAAGTACTCCATTTCTCAAGTAAAAACCAGTCGTATGTAGTCCATAAACAAGAATTAGGGTTTTCGAGAATATTTTCAGAAGAATGGCTTCGATTTTGTGGAGTTATCTGGTGGAACGATAGAACGACCGGCGTTTCAACATATGCGTGATTCAACTAGAAAACGTGAAGCCTTTTTCCTGGAGTTCGCTGAAAAGGTGCGTTTCGGACGTCCTCGTCATTAAGCTGTTTCGTGTGGATTTTCGTTCTCATCGATCGCCTTCAAAGGTGAACTGTTTGTCGGGAGAATTACGAATAACGTAGGAGAAAGATAGACTAACTACTTGAAACTCTCATAGACGATTGTAGTCGTCAGAACAAAAGCACACCAGTGCACAGTCTTGTTCGCTGCGGATTAAGCCAGGGGCTAGGTTTGGGTGGTGCTACCCCATTCAGCGCTTCACCAGTTGCTGAAGACGGTTGAGCGACAGCAGTTGGTTAAAAACGACTGGTGCGAACGATATGCCGTGTCGCTGGCTCGCTTAAACGTTGGTGAAAAGCGTTTCAGGTTGGACGGGGTTTTGAACAGATCGCATAAGGAATTTCACTGAATGAATTCGATGTCTGGTATGTGATGGCTCAGCTAACTCACTTTCTTTCAGCTCCGTCCAGTTTTCAAGGAAACAGTTGTCTACTTGACAGGTGGCTTCAGGACGGCACCAGCGATGGTCAGTGCTGTCCTTGATGGAACAACCGATGGTATAGGACTAGGAAGACCAATTACTGCAGAGCCTGGTTAGTATCCAGCGCAGATTCATCCGTCATTTATTGTTATGTCTTGCAAGATAGTTTTCAGATTTACCGGCTAAAATTCTTCGCGGTGAATGTTTATCAGCTCCTGATGCAAAAGTCAACCAAGACGACTACATGATCACTTCAACAGCTAGTAACATGCAAATGGGACAAATGAGTAAACAACCTTCCAAGGATTTGAAAACGTAAGTCTCACTGTTGCATCCAGTGGTTTTGATTATGTTTATTCCCAAAATCAGCAAGCTGTGAATGTTGTGCTTCTCACCCTTTACTGCACAGCTTCTTGAAATTCACGCCACCACTTTTCGAATTATCTTTAATCTGTGATTGGCTAAATTACAAATTGCTCTGGCCAGCACTTTGACCAAAACAAGAATATCTACAGGCCCTGAACAAACAAAAACAACAACTGTGGAAATGCCTCGCCCGCGATTGTGTGCGTTTCGCCTGTGTTCATAGGCGTTTTCCAGCTGCATGACCGCTCGCGGCGGGGCTCAGGAAGGGACAGGTGAGCTGGCTGGATTTGGCGCAGCGCCAGCTGGTAGTACAGCTCTAGAGTATGCGCTGATGTTGCGCAAAGCTCATTTCCATTGACAAGCCCCAGCATCCGCAGCGAAAACAACTGTGAAATGCTCGCCCGATGTAGAAAATGAACAGGGCTTGGGTTCCTTTTCTTTGTTTATTTTTCAGTGCTAATCCAACAGGTACCTGGAAATTCATATTTGAACCCCATCATTTACGAATTTCTTTTTGCAATATGTCTATATTTTTCATTTAGTATATGTGATGGAATTGCTGATCTCAGTCATCCGGAGGAAGCGGAAAACTTCAAGAAAGCATCAGCCGTATACTTCGATCATATGAAAGAGATCGCCGAACGAAATGAAGCTATACACGGCGTTATGGAGTACAACAATATCGTTTCATAGGTGTTCCGTTGTAAATATTTGCATGCTTTCACATAAAACTTTCAGAGAAGCTTGTAAGAAAATCACATCATTTTTCTCACCTGTCGTTTTGCACATGATCTGTCGTGTCTTTTACGATATTTTTTGACGTATGAGCCCTCTTTTAATTTCAGCGTCGCGAACGTTCCTTAGGAACAAACCTAATTTTTCGTTTCATTCTACTTTCGGCTTGCTTGCAGTTTTTTTTCCACCTGTTGATTCATGTTCTGGTGTTGTTGCCGCAGAAGAAAGAAAAATGCCGCTCTTACCTGCCTTTTGTTAGCGCCCGTCGCCAAGCATTCGCGTGAATAGATGCGACTCATATCTCTGAAAGTAGAGTAATCACTACTAGATTAACTGGTTTCAAGAATGACTGGTAATTGCCGTACTATAGTGTCACTTTCTCCGGTCAAAAGTGCAAGGGAACGGGGCTGCAGGACAGTGAAACGCAGGCCCTTCTCCTCTGCCCGCGCTACCACATGGCCAGCCACCTGACCATGGGAGACGTGCAAGAGAACTGCAAAATGCCGCTTCGTCGCGCGCGGCATGAGCGCGACGTTTCCTTATTTGCACTACCCTTTCGATTGGAGCATCGGATTTCATGTAGACAAGGACATGGTAGACACTTATGTCTATTTTGGTCATTGTCTATTCTCGACCAGTACCACCTAAAATCGTCGTCATTAGCGGGCGCGACGTCGCACGCGACGCCCACTGGCGCGGCGAATTACGATTCTCTTGCCACGTAATCCCTGACCATAGCCAAACGCGCTGCTTGTCTGCGCCCCCCCCTCACTTCTGGTTGCTCTCTACGCTGAGTGCCTGTTTCGCTGCAGGATCTTGGTATCGACGCAAAGGC